AGCTTTGTGCATGGGGTCCATCTGCTCCAGCCCCAGCTCCAGCCTGGGCATGGAGCTCTGTGCAGGATCCGTCGGCTCAGAATCCATCAGCCCCAGCCCCAGCTCCGGCCCGGACATGGGTCTCTGTGCAGGATGCATCAGCTCCAGACTGGGCACAGAACCTCACACAGGATCCATCAGCTCCGTCCCCAGCTCCAGCCTGGACATGGAGTTCCGCCCCGAGGGATGGGGGACCTTGGCTGGGGCCCCTGGGGACCCGCAGAACGCCACCAGCCGGTGCCATGGGGCTGTGGCAGGCAGAGCAGGGGTCGGGGGGTGTCACCCCACCCTCACCCCCCGCGAGTGAGCACCCACCCGCCCGCCAGCGCCCCGGGGTAGGGAGGGGACGGCGGGGCCGGGGGAGCGCAGCCGCCGGTGCGGAGGGCACGGGAGGAGGAGGAGGGAGGCTCGTGCGGACCGTCATTCCCCTCTGCTGGTCGGCACTGGGATAACTGGTGGCCGCCAGCCAGGCCTTGGCAGGGAGCCGGGATCGGCTCGGTGCAGCCTGAGGAGGGTGCGACAGACTGGCGACACCGGCACCGGCGTGGCATGGGATATGAGATAGGGGATACGGGTATGAGATAGGGGATATGGGAACAGGCACGGGCACGGCACGGGGCGTGGGGTGCAGGCACCACCGGGATGAGCACAGGGTATGGGCAGGGGCACCAGCATGGCACGGAACATGGGAACAGGCACTGGCACGGGCACGTGGAATGTTTGTGGATACAAGGCATGAGCACAGCATGGGACACAGGGCATAGGGATGGGCATGGGGCATGGGATAGGCATGGGGCATGGGCAGTGCCTCCCCAGCCCCTCCAGCTGCTGTGGGGACCCAGGAGGGGCTGGGGGCTCTGCCAGCTGCCCAGCTCTCCCCAGGAGCCCACGCTGATGGGCACTGGACGCTGGGAATGATGGTCTCAGCCCCTTTGGCTCTGGTGGCTACTGCCAGCACGGATCAGTCCAGGATGTGGCCCTGGCTCAGCTCCTTGCTGTGGGATACTGGGAAGAGTGGTTTTCAGGGCTGTGGGTTCTTCCCTGCTTCCAAACCCTGGGCAGGAACGGGGCACACATTGTGCAAGGGCTGGTGCTGGGTCACTGCAGGCACAGCTCTGGCATTTGCACCAGGGAAAGGAAAAACCTCATATGTGAGCAATGAGGAACAGCTAGAAACGGTGGGAAAACCCCAAGCACCCAGAGCAAGTGTCTGCTCAGCCACCACCCCTCGGTGGCTCCAGTGAAAACCAGGCACTGGGAGATGATTAACCCCGAGCAGCTTTGCCCCAGGCAGCTCGTGGGGACAAATGTAGCAGGTGACACTGTGCCCTCCCTGTCCCTGAGCCACCTTCCCTTGGGACACATTCCTGGATTGAGTCATTTAGTAGCCAGCAGTTTGCCTCTGCCTGCTCTCAGGGTGACATGGAAGTGGCCTCTCCATTCCACATCCCCTGACAATGGATGCATTCCCTGGATATTCTCACACCCTCCCATGGCTGCCCCACAGGTGGCCTAATATCCAAAATGCTCCTGGAGAGTCCCCAGGGAAGGTGGGCAGCAGGTCAGCAGGAGCTGTTGGTGTTTCACCCCAGCTCCAGGACTCAGGAGTTTGTGGGACACCCCCATTTCCCCCAGTTAAACACATTTCCAACAGCTCGACAATTATTAACTCAATTTTTGGGGTTAAAAAAGCTCAGATCGAGGCCTTCCAGCCCAGATTCCAGAAGACCAGCAAGGAGGGAGAAGGATGTGGCTTCAGGACTGCTCAGGAAAGCGTCTCCTACACCAGCTTCCCCTCAGTGCCACAGACATCCTTAAATTTGTCTTTCAGGAAAACCAGTTTCAGCCAGATCCATCTGATTCCATGACCCCCAGACCAGTCCCTCATCCAGCCTCTCATCTCCCTCCATTATTTAGTGAGGTCCCAGCTGTCTGTCCTGGACCAGAACAGGACAGGATGGAGTGAAGGGAGCAGCCACCACCTCTCCCCATCCACCCTGATGTTCCTTCCCAGCCCTGGGGGGTGGGGAAAGGCTGTTCCCTTCCCTGTTCCTGGTGTTCCACATGGTCCATTCTGGGGCATCCAGGCTGTGGATCCCAGAGCCCTTTGTTGAGCAGGGAAAGGCTCCTGGGGGTCTCCAAGGATCTAAATAAAGCCTGTGGCAAGAGGAGGAACTGTCCTCCACAGTTCCTGCTTGGAGGACCCACCACCCTGAGGCATTTTACACTCCAGCAAATGCCTCCAGTTGGGAAGCAGCCTCCATGTCCCATCCAGCCCCAAGGTCAGGAGGCTCCTGGATATCGGGATGTGGGCTGCCCATATTTGTTGTGCTGAGCTGTGCTGTCAGGAAGGCAACCCAAAGCATCATTCCCACAAGCAGCCCTCTCTCCATCCCACAACTGGGAGGATGTTCCCACCCCTGCCCTCCCAGCACTCTGCTCCAAAGCCTCCATCCCCAGCCTGGCACCCTGGCACTGCCCACACAGCCTGTGGAGCGGGACAGCTTGCTTCCTGATTTTTCCAACGAAATGAGTGTCACTCTTTCCTTATTTATATTCTCTGCCAGGTATGATGGATGCAGGGGAACCACACGGCTGCCAGGGAGCTGAGTGTCCCCAGGGGCAGGGGGGGACAGCTTGGGGACCCCCAGCAGCCGGGTCTGGCTTTCCTGCAGCTCCAAACCCGCTGTGGTTTTGCCACAGACAAGCGATGCTCGGCCTCCTCGGGAAGACTGACAGGGAGCTGGAGGAGCAATATAAATACCTCCCTCTTAAATAGTCTGCTGGTATTTATAGCCTGTGCCTGGCACGGAGTCCGGCGGCTCTGACAAACCCAGCTCCAGATTATTTTTAAGGAAGCGGCGGAGGGAGTAGGTTTTAGAGCACAGGATTGGGATGCACGGCTGCCTGACCCGGGGCTGGCAGAGCCCACGCTGATGGGATGGAGCTGTTGTCACCCTGCTGGCCCTCTGGGCACTCCTTTGCTGTCCTGTGTCCTCAGGCACCCCATGTCCTGCCCTAAGCAATGGGGTGAACACCTATCCAGCCATACATATATATGTGTATATATGCACATACCTGCAGGCACAGCCTGCCTCTGGATCGCTGCCATTTGCTCTGGCTCTGTAGTGGCACTGTGCTGTTTCCCACCTCCTTTCCTGTTTTTCCCCCTCCTTTCCCATTTTCCCCTCTCCTTTCCCATTTCCCCCCCCTCCTTTCCCATTCCCTCCCGCCTCACCCCATCACACACTGCCCAAGTCTGGAAGGGGGAGCACAGGAGCACCCAAATCCCCTGGGCACGGCCCTGGGAGCCAGCTCAGGGCCAACCACGGTGGCTGGTGGCCCTGGCATGTACCCACACCCAGCCTGGAGGGGAAGCTCGGTGGGTGCCGTGCTGGGCACAGGGGGAACACGTCCCTTTTGCCCCCAGATTTACAGCCCCAGCCGTGCCCGTCGTGGGTGGGAGGGCACAAGGCGACCGAGCCCCTGTTTGTGGGAAGATATTTTAGTGGGAAATGAGCCTGATTCACCCTAAAGACCTCTCCCCCCTGTCCTGGCTGCAGCCCTGGGGGTGAGGAGGGGCAGTGCTTTGCTTTGGCACTGCCAAAATAAACCCGGGGGGGGGCAGAGCTGAGTCCTGGGGGGTGCGGGGCCGGGGGAATCCCGGGTGAGGGGGGGGCTGCTGGTTGGAGGAAGGGTGATGTTGGGTCCGGGGGTGATGCTGGGTGCGGGGGAAAGCCGGGTGTGTATGGGGGGATGCCAGGTGTGTTCGGGGGGATGCCGGGTGTGTTCGGGAGGATGGCGGGTGTGTTCGGGGGGATGCCGGGTGTGTTCGGGAGATGCCGGGTGTGTTCGGGAGGACGCCGGGTGTGTTCGGGGGGATGACGGGTGTGTTCGGGGGGATGCCGGGTGTGTTCGGGAGGATGCAGGGTGTATCTGGGGGAATGCCGGGTGCAGGGGAGTGCTCTGTGTGTCTGTGATGCTGGATGCGGGAGCGGGGGGGACGCCGGGTGTGTGTGTGTGGGTGCTGAGTGCAGGGGAGGGGGATGCCGGGTGCGGGCAAGAGGGGATGTTTTCTGTGTGCGTGTGGATGCTGAGAGCGGGGGGGATGCCGGGTGCCGGGCGATGCCGTGTGCGGGGGGATTGCGGGTGCGGAAGGGTTCCGGGTGTGCGTCTGTGGGTGCCGCCGTGTGCGGGGAGGTGCCGGCTGCGTGTCGGTGTGTGATGCTCCGTGCGGGGCCATGCCGGGTGCGTGTCTGTGGGTGACGCCGTGTGCGGAGTGATGCTGTGTGTGTGTGTGTCTGTGCGTGATTCCCTGCACCGTGGGGTTGTGGGGGTGTGTCCGTGTGTGATTCTGTCTGTGGGGCGATGCCGGGGGTGTGTCTGTGTGTGATTCCGTGTGCGGGGCGATGCCGGGGGTGTGTCTGTGTGTGATGCCGTGGCGATGTGTGGTCTGTGTGTCTGTGTGTGATTTCGTGTGCGGGGCGATGCCGTGTGTGTGTCTGTGTGTGATTCTGTGTGTGGGGCGATGCCGTGTGTGTGTCTGTGTGTGATTCCGTGTGTGGGACGATGCCGTGTGTGTGTCTGTGTGTGATTCCGTGTGCGGGGCGATGCCGTGTGTGTATCTGTGTGTGATTCCGTGTGCGGGGCGATGCCGGGGGTGTGTCTGTGTGTGATGCCGTGTGCGGGGCGATGCCGTGTGTGTATCTGTGTGTGATTCCGTGTGCGGGGCGATGCCGGGGGTGTGTCTGTGGTCTCTCCCCGTTGCAGTACCGGCTCCCGGTCGCAGAGGGCGCTCCGCAGAGGGCGCTGCGGCGCGGGAGGCGTGGCATCCAACGGGGCGTGGCCGGGGCGTGGCCTGTGACGTCACGTCAAACCCCGCCCCGGTCAGCTGAGCCCTCCGCACCGCCCCCCCCCGCAACCCCCTCCCAACCTCGATCCGCCCCCCCCGCAACCCCCCCTGCCGATCCCCCCAGGTCCTCCTCCCTCTTCCCTCCTCCCTCCGCATCCCTGCGCCGCCACCCGCAGCCTCGCCCGGCCGTGTGTGCCTGTGGGTGACCCCCCCCCTCCCCAAAACCCACCCTCCCCAGGGCGCTGCGCCCCCCCCGCCCCGGCACCGAGACATGGCCCCCATCGGACTCAAGGCTGTGGTGGGAGAGAGTAAGATCCGCGTCCCCCGTGGGGTGTTGGGGGGGGTGGGAAACGCGGTTAAACTGCGCGGGGGTGGCGGGAGGAGGGGGGGGTCGGACTGGGGGGGCTGCCCTTGCCGGGGGTGGGGGGGATGCTGCGGATGCGCAATACGGACCCTCGGGGCGTGGGGGGGACGTGGGACACCCCCACGGGGGACGCGCCGATGGGTTTTGGGGGGGGTTGGGGTCGTGGGTGCTGTCACCTTCCGGGGTTGATTTGTGGGATTTTTGCGGCTCTTGGGGTTTTTTTTCTGCAGTGCTGGGGGGGGGGGGGGGGAGAAAGAAGGGGTGGGGGAGAGGGAAGCGAGAGGCGCTGGAGCCCCCCTGCTGTGCCCCCCCATCCCCCCGTGCCCCCCAAACAACCGCCCCACGGGGAGGGGGGGCTGAGCCCCGGGAGGGGGGGCACAGGGCTGTGCAGACCACCCCCCTAAATGCCCCCCACCCCCCCAGCGCAGTGCCAGGCCGGGCCCTCCCGCTTTGTTCTGCAGCGAATCCCGCTGAAACGGCGATTTTTTTTTATTTTTGGTATTATTTCCATGATTATTATTATTATCATTATTATTTGCCCGGACGTGACTTTGCTCCCCCCATCCGGGGGGCCGCCGTGGCCCTTCCTCCCTCCTTCTTATCCCTCCCCAAGGCCAAACCCGCCCCTCCGGCCTCGGGCATCCCGCGGGGGTCTATTCCCGGCCGGGAATATTCCCGGGAGCCGCGGGCGGGGGCACGGCACGATCGTTGCCCGGCTGCGCTTCCTCCTTCCCGGCTGTTGCAAGGCGATATTCTCCCGGGGGGAAGCGCGGCGGGAGGGGGGGTTGTTCTCCGAAACACCCGAGGCCGGAGGAGGGAAGGGGGGCGACCCTTTTCCCCCGGGGCGAAATTACGGCGGAAAAACTCCGCATCGCCAAAAAAAAAAAAAAAAAACAAATGAGAAAATGGAAAAGCCGAAAGGGCAGGAACCGGTGGGAACTTCCCCCCGCAGCCATGAGCCTTCCTCCTCCTCCTCCTCCTCCTCCTCCTCCTCCCCGCCTCTCGCAGGGTTTATTTCCGTGGCAGCGTGGCCAGACGCGGCCGGGTTTTTTTTTTATTATTATTATTTTATTATTATTTTATTGTTTTGGGGTGGTTTTTTTTATTTTTGGCGTGCCGTCCGTGCCCGTGGGTGATTCCCCCCCGCCCTCCCGCGCCCGCTGCAGATGGCGCGGCCGGGGCTGGTGGTGTGATCGGGTGGGTGGTGTTTTTTTTGGGAGGGAGGGGGGAGATTACGGGGGGGGACAGCGCGGGGATTCCCGTGGGTTGATGGCCCTGCCGCGCTCCCCCCACCGTCACCTCCCCACCCGGGGATGGGGGGCTGCGACATCCCCCCCCCCCCGGTGCTGCAATGGGGATAAGAGCCCAAAATGGAAGGGGAAAGGCAGGGAAGTGTCCCGGTGTGCCTGTGCTGCAGGATGGGCTTTGGGGAGGGGGGAGGTTGGATCGGGTGATTTATTTTGGGGAGGGGGGTGGTCCCCTCGCATCTGAAGTGGGGAGAGGGGCTGCCCCCAGCCCGGTTGGATGCGGCGAGGGGGGGGATGGACCCGCCGCCCACGCACCCTCTGGCAGGGCCACCTCCGGTGCCCTCGGCGGAGAGGGGACAGAGCCCAGCGCCACTGCGTGTCCCTGATTTTCATTCATTGTCTCTGCGCTGGAGCAGGCTGGGGGGGAGCACAGACACACACACAGACACGCAGAGGTTCGAGGCAGCATCACTGAAATCTGGCTCAATCCTTCCCTCCAGGCTTTGGTGACAAACTGCTCCCTTCTTTCCCTGGGAAAAACAAAAACAAAAACAAAAAAAAAAAAAAAAAAAAAAAAAAAAAAAAAAAAAAAAGAAAAAAATCATTCCAGACTGAAAAAACGATAATTCAGAGCCGGGCATCAGTTGCAGTAGCAGGGCTGGCAGGGGAGCGTGGGTGGGTGGAAGGAGGGAGCGGGGTTTGTGCAGGGAAAATGCTGCAGAGGAGCGAGGGATGGGACCCTGGAGGGGCACCCTGGGGGCCAGCCCTGCCCTCCCACGGGGGTCAGGGTGCTGCCACGGGAAGCTCCTGGGCTTGGTGGGTCAGTGCCCGCCTGGGGGGGCTGTTTTCAGGGGGAGCTGCTCCCCCTGAGTTGGGGTGAGCCTGCTCTCCAGACTACCCCTGTCCCTGGGCACGAGATTCCCTGGCTCCCACTGCGCCAGCCTGCCCTCGGGCTGGGACTCCCTGGAGGTTTTCCTGCAGGAGATGTTTGCTCCTAAGGAGCAGGAGGTCTGAGCCTGGGGCTGACCCTGAGGCAGGACATCTCTGCTGGGTTCCCTCCTCGTGAGGAAGGGAAGGATGGGGAGGATGGGGAGGATGGGAAGGAAGGATGCTGCCGCGTTGCCATGGCTCACTCCGCCAGCCCCCCCTCCGGAGCTGCATTCTGCCCTGGCTTCCCTCCAGACCCGGATTATTCCTCTGACCAGCTGGTGCCATGACAAGACGGGTTTTGGAGGCCTCTGAGGAGGTGGCAGGCGGTGGGCAGGGGGGTGAGGTGGGTGAGTGTTGCTGGAGAAGGGCAGAGCTGGGTTGTGACCCCCCCAGAGCTGTGGGGTGTCTGCTGGGGGGGCTGTCCCTGCACCTTCCTGCAGTGTCCAGCAGTGGTGGCTGCATCCCTCCAGGACTGGCTGGGGCTGGAGCTGAGTGCACTTGCCCCCAGAGGTGATGTCTGAGGACCAGGTTCCTTCTGCCGTGCCTTGTATTCCCTCTGTGCCACCTCCCAGCGAGCCCCGCTGGACAACCAAACACTGTGTCCTGGTGCTGGCTGGAAAGATCTCCCCCAAGCGTGAGTGAGGGCACCCATCTCCAAATCTTCATCTGACCCCCCCCAGGTGGATATCCCTCCTATCCTCTTGTGCCCCAGAGCTCCTTGGATCTTCTCAGGGCAATCTGCCCCGAGCTTCCCCTGCCCAGCCTGGTCCTGGCTCTCTTGCAGCAGCCTGCAATGGAGAGCAGGAGGAGGAGGAGGAGGAGGAGGAAGAGGAGGAGGAGGCTGGTTTTACTTCCCTGACCTGTCAGCAGCGAGGTGAGATGGGCTGTGCTGCAGGGGTGACACCCGGGCAGTGCCTGCACCCATGGGGAGCTGCTGCAGGACACGTGGCTGGAGCCTATGGAGGCTCTGGATCCCAAAACCCTGGACCCCTTCAACCTCCCCAAAGGCTTCTCCTGCTCCTGTTGCTGTCAGGGACAGCTGGGAGAAGCAGAGGAGCCCTGGGATAAGGAAGTGCCCCACTGCCTTGCAGAGACAGCAAGAAAACACCTTTCCCCCAGGACACCAGCTGATCCTCCCACGGAGCATCCTCACCTGGGCAGCCTCCCACGGAGCCGACCTGTGCCAGGGGCCTCCTGCCAGGGCCATGCCAAGGAGCCCCACGGCTAAATCCCACCTGGACCAGGCCCCAGCACCCACGGACAGCACCCACTGCCTGCCCTGTCGCTCTTGTCCCCATCATGTCACCCGTGGCCCCCTCTGTGCCTCTCCAGGGCCCACCCCTGCCTGGGTGTGCTGGGACGTGATGACTCAGGGTGCCAGGTTCATGCTGTGCTGCACCTCCAGGGACAGGGAGGAGGCACAGGCAGGGCTGGGGCACTGCCAGCCTCGGGGCACAGCCCTGGGGACCCGCTGCAGGGCGGCTGCTACGTGACTCACCCCGGCTGCTTGGGCACCTCACAGCTCCCAGCACCCCGTGCTGTGGGCACAGGGAGCTTCCAGGCCCAGATACCGCTCGTGGAGGGTGCTCTGGGCCCAGCTCAGTGCCCAGGATACAGTTTGTGTGCTGCCCCAGGTCTGGCAAGGTCTCTGCCAAGCAGAGGAAGAGGAGGCAGCGAAGGGCTCAGGGCTGCTGCGCCAGTGGGACCATTGCAGGGATGCACATGGATCTTCCTGCCTGCATGGGCATGATCCCAGCCTGATGGAGAGGTGGATGGGTGAGGAGGAGAGGTCTCTGTGCTCTGTGTTCACCATGGATGGGAGCAGACCCTGAAACCAGTCGCTTCCTGGGCAGCCCACCCTTCCAGTGCCCAGCTCCTGGGAGCCCACCAACCTGACAGGAATGGTACAGGAAGCTTGGCAAAGCCTCTGCTGGGGCCTGTAGATCTGTCACCAGGATCTGTCTCACCTCCAGTGCCAGCTCTATGTTGGGAAAGCTTGAAAAAGCAGATACAAAATTCAGGACTCACCTTCACAGGCATTGCAGAGGATTTTCAGTCTCCACACCACGCTCTGTACCAGGGGCTGAGAAACTCTTGCCCATATGTGACCATGGAAGGTGACCAAGAGTGACAACCCTCAGTTTGGCAGGTCTGCATCCACCCACCAGTGTCTGCAAGGTTGAAAAAGCCTCTGCCACAGAGGACTTATTTCCCTCTTGAAAAGTGTGGTCTGGCTCTAAATCCCCTGCACCTCTCAGGGAGGACGTCCCAGGAGAGATTCCCTCCTTCCTGCCACCAAATCAACACATTTAAAAGGAGAATCATCGTCACATGGCTCTTGGTTGCACGCTGAGGAGCAGATGCTGCGTCCACCAACTCACAGCTCGGGGAAGGAACTTGGCTCTGGAGAGTCCAAAAATAGATCAGGCTGAAGGTGCAGTGATTTGTGGGCTCCCACATCACCCTGTGCACACACAGACATATGGATGTGCACAGACACGTGTGCTGGAGGGTCTTTTCTGGAGCCCACCAGGTGGTTTGACCTTGGGCCATTAAAGGAACAGTGAAGACCACTCAGAGCTGGAGCAGCTCAGCCGCCCATCAGCCCGTGCCTGGTGTCTGTGGGCACAGCCCAGCCTGGATTCCCACCAAGCCCAGCCTGAAGAGCCCCAGTGTGTTGGGGTTTTTCTCTACTGTGGTTCAAGACAGAGCAGAACCGGCTCAAAAAGTCACGGCCACACTTGTAGGAGAGAGTGACCCACCCCTG